GGGGGGGGGGGGGAGGGAGGTCGGCTTATAAACGACCTGGCTTACAATCGAGTATATATGGTAATTATGGCGTTTTGATCGTTTGCATAACTTTTGTCAACAAAACTCTGGCCTAATTCCAGTAGGATATTGATTAATATGGAAAAAATTGTTTATCAAAACATGGATCATTTTTATTAGGTCAATATACGTTAATTAGGGTAGTCAGAGATCTTAGCCTTCACTAGCAGTGATCTACCCTATTCATCTTTATTTACATCTAGAATTTGTAAATTGAATTTTTTGTGAAACAACACTGCTACACCTTTGGCTGAGGAAAATTATTAAAACACTCCTTCCTCCATGCAACCTCTCCTAAGTTTCTCTACCTTTAAATGATCATGGTAGCTTTCCTATAAGAAGATAATATCCGCTGTCAGTGGGTTTAGATTCTTTCTTGGGTATTCACCCCTTTGATGTTCAAGAAAACACAATTTATACTATTAGCCATAAGGAGGACGCAAGCCAAACATCTCTTTATCAGGCAGCTGAACAGTATCAGTAGTTAGGTCACTGTTAGTTCCACATCTAGGAAAAGTATATCTGGGTCCCCCTGACCACCCCGGGGACATGAAGGGGAGGGATAAGGGTAGAAGATAAGGCGAACCAGGCAAGGAAAAAGATAGGCATAATGTTGGGAAAAGATAGAAAAACAGAGAGCGGGAATGAAGTCATCAGAAATGACCAAGGATACCTTACAAAATATATGACAAACATCCAAACTGAAGTAGGACTTAAGTCCAGGAGGTAGTTACAAGGGGGTAGTCTCATTACTTACTACCCCCACCCCCAAAATATCCATTTGGGGTATAACTGGATTCCCTGTAACTTTATAAGGAAAACGGTTTCATATCAATGGAGGCATGATTTCTGCACCATTCACCAAACAAACAAACAAAAAACCACAAGGGGGGGGACTGCTAGTGTCTAAATTTAAGAACAAGATTCTGATGGATATATGGGAAAGTTATACAAGTTGTTTAAATAATCTTATTCTAATATAACTAGATTACTTACAGGTACAGGTTCATTACCAGAACAGTTCTGCCTAATCTTTGCCCTCTAGAGCCTTGACCATGCTGGATTATAGTGTGAACGCCATTGCCCAATGGTTAGATCAGTAATGTCAATCAACACAACATTTCAACTCATTTCATTAAGAAAAAAAAAACACTAAAGAAGAGAACCTGAATGAATATTATTTAAAGAAAACTGACCCTCATAACATTCTTAATAATTTGGTGAATCATAACCAGCAATAGTAATTATTCTTGGATAGGATTCCTTTACAGCTGGGGAACTGAAAGGATATATCATTAAATTGAAATCTTCATTACATTGTTTACATATGGTATAAGTGTACATTTAGGGCAAATGGATTGAGTATTTCCAGGTTTACTATAAACTCAAAATCTGGGAAACTAAATGGGGATGAAACAAAGTAAAATAATTGGTGGAGGGGATGGGGAAGAAGATGAAAAAGAGGGGTGGGGTGGGGGTGCTAGAGAAGGTACCAGGATGGATAGTGCCTTAGACAGAAAACGAAGTCAAACTTCTCTATTGAACTTTGCCAATTCAAGAGTGTAAAAAGTCTCCAGGTCCAGTTAAGTGATTTGCTTGGTATCAGGATCCCAAAGATGGTTCCGGAACACTACAATTATGAGTGTACATAAGTGGTGGGCAGTGGTGTAGGGTAAATGCAAGTAAAGCAAATGTGCCAACATTGTTACAGTGTTGCCAAAGTTAAGAGCTAAATTCCAACACTGGACTGAATTCCATAGTGACTGAATAAAGTATATTTGTTTTAATGTATCCCAGCTGTATCTTCTGTGGGGGTTTTCTGCAGTAGTGAGGATCAGACACTTTTCAACTTCCTCTGCTATCAAAAAACTAAGCATCTTACCCTCGTTTTTAACTTTCAAACTATCAGGGAAGGAAATAAAGTAGTCTAACCCAACCTTTTGTCTAAGGTCCTTGATCTATTGAATTTAGTCATCTTTCCCACCACATCTTTGGTGTAATATGGAAAAATCATCAGCTTTTCCTTTTCATGTTAGGGCTTTTTAAAGAATGAGTTTCTTAATATATTATTTTAAACATCTTACAGTTAAGGCCTGGGGCTTTGCATTTGGAGGGGTATTGGTGCAAGAGAGGTGTGGGCTCTCTCAATATCTACGTTCTGATCAGGGGGAAGACACAAAAGCTCTAGCAGCATAGTGGATAAAAATTCCAGAGGCCTCCCTTTTTCCATCTCCTCTGGAAGACCCACCAATTCTCAGATTGTTTCTCCTTGATCTTCCTTTGAAATCATTAACCTTTTCCTACAGTGCTTTAATAGCCATTTCCTGTTGCTTTGAGATTATATTCATGGTACTCACTGTGTCTTTTAGCAAGGAGAGTCTATTCTCAGCTTCCCCGTAGTCTTGATTCCAAGCTTTGCAAATTAGCTTGATGTGTACTAGTAATATGTTTGATCTCAGTTATATCTTGTGATATTTTTCCTCAAGATGTTCATTCTCTTGAGATTTGTTTTAACCAGTCCATAATTTCATCTAGTCTCAAAGTGGTAGACTCTCCTGGCTGCAGGAGGGCCGTCTGACAACCTCTGTTTTTTAGGATTTTGTGGAAATGTTACAGACAGTGTGAATCCTCCTATTATTAATAGTCTTATTCCTCTTTTTTGGTAGGCAAGTTTCAGATTTCTATTATAGGACTTTCATGCACAAGACTTTTGTCAGCACACAATTTTTATTCTGATATTTAATAAATGTGTCAGGGCAAATTTAAAAAGCATCTATTGAATGGAAAACTTCTGGCATTCTTTGGTTTTCCATCAAAAGTAGAGTTAACTGTGCAGCTTGTGAAGAATATTTCTGCTCTTTACATTATCACTTTTGGAAAGGATAGGGACTGTGGCTGGTCTGGATGTATATATAGTAACACGTAAGGAGTACATTCCTTGACGCTGTCTCCAGAATATCAAATTTGATTCATTTCATGGAACATGTGGGACAGCCCCTTTCTGGATTTTGGGGCAGCCTGAATCTGCTGCCTATTAGGCTACCTAAGGTCATGGCTCTTCTGAGCATACATATGGGTGCAAGCATCAAACAGCAGTTAGCTATATACATTTAACTGGTAATGTTCAAGTGTAGGTGGAAGCTAGAGGATTAAGTAAGGAGGAAGTATGCTTTATTATTACTTATTTATATCACTCAATAGATGTGCATGGTGATCCCCGTCCAGAAAAGCTTACAATATAAAGAACAGAGGAACAAGAGTGGTTGTTTGAACTTGGGAAAGTGATTGCATAAGTGGGAGGACAAGAGTGTTATATGAGCCACATGGGAAGCTAGCATTGGAGTCTTGGTGGTTAAAATTTTTGTTACTAATCATTTTCATATGTTTAGAGCTATAACTTTATAAAAGAGCTTGAAGAACTTTGTTCTGAGATGGACTTGAGAGGAACGAACGCATGGGGAGCAGCATGAAAAAAAGCACGTAAGTGGCTGTGCGAGAAGAATATAAAGTTGGCACCCAGATTAACAATTTGCATTGTGCAAAAGGATAATAAGCACAGCTGATGATTATATATGCTAAAGATTATGATAAATTAAGAATTAATTTAGCAGGTACACTATTTTTAATTCATTTCACTGCACAGCAGTAGGTATAATGTCAATGTGTTAAATGTGTGTCACATTTCCCATGGCCTCAAAACTGTTCTACAAAACCTGCAACTATACTCTCAAAACAAATAATTAGGTGAATAAATGCAAAGCAGATGTGACTTAATTTTACATGTGCAGTTTTGGGGGCAACCAAATAATTGTTCCTCAAATTGTCAGTTCACAATGAAGATATTTTTTAAAAAATATTTTCTGTTGCATAAAAATAATCTTAAAATGAAATTGACTAGAAATTAACTATGAACAAAAGTGAAAGTGACTGTATTTTCATTTGCCAATCTTGAGAAAAATGAAAAAACCCATAGCATAAGAAGTAAAACGTAAATTATTTTAAATCCTTTCATTTATAAAAGTTAAGAGCAGGAAAGGAAATTTGCTTTTTTAAAAACAGTGATATCTAACAGTGTAGCATACTGTGAAAGGGACAAAAACAGTGGGCACATTAAGTCTCTTGCATTAAAGAACAGCTGTGCAAAGGACCCCAAAATGTGGCCGCTTTTTGTCAACTATGACCAACATAATTCAGCAGCATCCACTAATGATGATGTCCTTCTGCCTCTCATTCACATTTCCATTAGAAACACCATTTTACTAATACCTTTTTCATTTGGGTAGAAATTTTGATTTTGGGTGAAACTTTGTATTAAGTTTTGAGATAAGAAGCCAGTGTCTTTTTTTGGTAAAGAGAATTTAGTGCCAGGAAGATCAAAGGTGGCCAAGTGATGGCCCTGGAGACTGAAGTACTCAGTTTATTCACAGAATAGGTACAACAGCAGTGCCAGTGTAAGTTTCCTCATACTACCTGCTAATGTTCTTTCACCCTTAGAGGACGTCAGGGCTGAACTGTAGCTCATGCAATAGGCCCATTCAATCCTTGGCCTCTGCTGAGAATATAAACAAAGGTGCCAATTGTGATGGTAGTTTTTGTGATTTGGATACTGGCCCACTAGGAATCATCTAAGGGCTATCAGCTGTTCTCCCCCATTTCCCTGCTTGTAACTTTTTGGACTGATGTATTATTTAACATGTGCTATATTACATCAAAAATCCATTTCTAAGTATTTCCATGTAACGCATGGCTCATCAAAAAAGTGGCAACAGAGACAAAGGGCTGTCTAATAATGACTATATTATTATGACCACATATAAAACACACATTCATTAAAATTATTGAATCTGCATTGTTGTGTCATTCTAATCAATTATGATTTTTAAAATTACGTATTCACATGTTTAAATACCATTATTAAACATATAATGAAAGAAGCATACTTTTGAAATCTCCATCCCCAAATGTCAGTGGATAAGCTCCTGGCTTTTCAATCTTGTACATTTCTTCTATAAAAATGATTTTACAATCATTTATTACGTCTTCTGGGCCTCTGGGGAGGGAAAAAAAAAAGTATATTTAATTTTGTTTCTTTGATTCCTGTTGCTATAATTGATAAACCTTGAGGAAGAGCTATAGCTAATAATCAGTGCCAGTTCTGATTTTAAAAATCCATAGAATGTTGGACTGTGGTTGTATTTACTTATTGCTCATTTTAAGCTGTCACAACCATTACATGCAGCACTGAATCATTTGGTCTAAACTGACAATAATAATTCAACATAACGATATAACTTTTAACAAAGTCAAAACAATTAATAATTTACATCAGCACAAGGTAAATTAAATAAGCTAAGGAGTATTATCATATTGCAGATCAGCTAGTGCAAATATCAAAGGCAGCAACTGATAGTTCATTCGTTGAATGTATTTCTTTTTTTTTTTTTAGTTGTTTCTCAAACAGTTTTGTTATCCAAAGTTAGCAACAGCAGACCAGGCAAAATCAAAAGCTTGCAATGACAGACCAGGCAAAATCCAAAACACTCAAGAGGCATTATACATTATAGCAAACCTAAAAGAATCCTTATTGGCAATGATATAATAAAATTATACTGTTAGCAGTGACAATGAATAGTGACTTATAACTAGTGTAATAATATGCACTACTGAACTTAAAAGGGAAGAAAAATAATATGGTAAATAGTTTAAATTCTCTTTGTACAAAAATCCTTTCATATGTTTTCAGTGTCTAAATAGTCAAGTTTCTTTTAAGTTTCACTTTAACGCTGACTTCCTTGGATTTCTAAATGTTTCAGAAAACTAAGGCCCCAAATCCAGCAAGAACACATACAATATGTACTTTACATATTCTTACACCCTTGACCTCAGTGGGACTTTTTTGCCAGTGTCACAGTGCACAAACTCCTAATGGTGCACAGCTAGTACTTCAAAGAACAAAACACTCATGTTAAATGAGGTGATGGAGGGCATTAATGAGGAGTAAAGATAAAGATTTTAATCTCATACCTCCTACTCCACTTAATTTTCCCACTCTCCCAACTGATTTTAACTGCCAAGGGTGACTGACAGAAAACTTTAGTCCCTCACTGTGCCAAGATGTCTTTTCAGCTGCTGTTTGTGGATCTCTTGCCACTTTAAATTTTACAATATAAAACTAAATTAGGACTTGTTCACAGCATTACCAATTTAGAGGCAAATCCTGCAAGTACTTACTACTGAGCATAGTCCCATTGACTTCAGTGGGCTACACCTATTAAGTGGTTACAGAATCAAGCTGTTATACCCAAGACGGCAAGTTAGTTTCCTAATTGTAATTTTTATTTCTCATTATTGAGGGCATCCACTGATCTGGACATGACTTTATATATTAGACCCGCTCATTCCATCAGTGTGGAGGAAATCTGTGCTCCCTACCCCCATCAGAGTTTAAACTCCTCTGCTGGACTGCTGCAGCACCATATTCTGATCCCAGAAGAGGGCATCCAAAACTGAAACTAAATAAACAACTTGGTAGAAAATTTTAACAATACTGTAGACAGGATTATTAGAATTAAAAGAACAACGCATTTTAATCAAGAACATGGTGATGTGTGTAGGGAGAGTTTATTCAGACATGGGAAGGTCCTTTCCATGAAAGGAAACTACATTATACTGACTAGACATTACCTATAGGAATGATCTCTTATTGTTTCTACTTCCTGTGGGAGCAAAAGAAACAAATACAAGTTGACATTTTTCTAGAGGGATTCATAGCAATGGACAATGTATGTATTCATATAATTTTAGTAATTTTAATTATATTTGCTCGCCTGGTTTAGCTTCAATGAAGCCAAGAATATCAAAAGCTCAACAAAGGAGAAAAAAAATCATTATTATAGTGTTTAGGAAAGGAATTGCAAACTTCAAGCAGCCACACTGCAAGTGTCGAAGTATAAAGTTTTATGGTTCTCTGTCCAAAACTCTGAAGAACCTTTTGCAGAGTAACTTTGATGCTTCCAGCAGGCATCTCAGTTGCTGTTTTGCTTGTCTGGTATACATTCACTCTGATCCAAATAGAGACTGAGTATTGAGGCCCTGAAGCACTGTTTGAGACCTCCTATGAAAAACAAACAACGGTAGCGGACTTTCACCACTGACAGACAGATTTTAAAGCCCATTTCATACCAAAAGTGTGACATTCTTTTCTTACTGATACTTGAATTTAGGGCAAAAAAAGAGGAATGAAACAGATGGATTTAATTTGAATTCTTTTCTTTTTTGGTTTTGTATAAGATCAGGAAATGGATTAAGTACCATCTTTTCAAGGAAGAATTGAAAATGGGTTTTTTAATTGAAAAAACTCCCAGTTCAATAACTCTCCTGCCTGAAAGTAATTGCTATGAGGAAACAAGGAGAGGCTTCCAGTCTAGGATTAAAAGGGGAGTTTTGTATGGTTCTGCTGAACCAGGCTGAAAGTGCCACGGCAAAGGTCTGCACTCGGAGTAATTGTAGCAGAGCTCCAATTTTGTGGCTCCTCAGAAGTCTCCGTGCACATGGAGCACCTTTTAACAAGCAGATTAGTCAATTTACTCATCACCATAATGCAGTACAACAATCAGAGAGAAGCAGCTCAGTGGGTAGCTTCATTTGGAAAAGAAATAATGACCTGGAAGCGGATTCCCTTAGGGGGAGAAAGATTTCTCTCATTGCTGCCCATTTTTTAAAAAACATTTTTATGCATTTAGATTTAAAATAAGAGAAGCTTTTCCAAGGATCTAGGTGCCCTAGTAAGTCATTACAGATACAATACAGTAACTCCTTGCTTAACGTTGTAGTTATATTCCTGAAAAATGTGGCTTTAAGCGAAACAATGTTAAGCAAATCCAATTTCCCCATAAGAATTAACGTAAATGGAGGGGGGGGGGGGAAGTGTTAGGTTCCAGGGAAATTTTTTTCAGACAAAAGACATTTTATATATATATATATATATATATTTTACATACACACACACACACACACTATAAGTTTTAAACAAACAATTTAATACTGTACACAGCAATGATGATTGTGAAGCTTGGTTGAGGTGGTGAAGTCAGAGAGTGGAAGAGGGTGGGATATTTCCAAGGGAATGCCTTACTGCTAAATAATGAACTAGTACTCAGCTGAGCCCTCAAGGATTAACACGTTGTTAATGTAGCCTCACACTCTACAAGGCAGCACAAATGGAGGGAGGGAAGACAACATGGCAGACAGAGACAGAGAGACACACCCTGGGTGAGAGAGAGAGAGAGAGAGAGATGGGGTAAGCGGGGTGCAGGAGCAGGGGGACATCCTGACATTAGTACCCCTCTTTCCCCCACCCCGCACAGCAAACAGGAGGCTCCTGGAAGCAGCTCCAAGGCAGAGGGCAGGAGCAGCACATGGCAGTGCGGGGACGGACAGCTGAACTGCCCGGCAATTGATAGCCTGCTGGGCGGCTGCCGCACAGGGAACTTAGGGGAGCTGCCGGTCCACCCTGGTTCCAAGCCCCCACCAGCTAGCTCCAACGGGCTGCTCTTTCTGCAAGCAGTGGACAAAGCAGGCGGCTGCCAAACAACGTTATAAGGGAGCATTGCACAACTTTAAACGAGCATGTTCCCTAATTGATCAGCAACGAAACAACGTTAACCGGGACGACTTTAAGTGAGGAGTTACAATTAAATCCTAGCAGCATCTATGTAATCATTTCAACAGGAACTCAGACAGACACATACAGCAACTCTTTTTCCCCGCCATCACTCTTACAGGAAGCATGCCCTCTGCCACACCCACACCCACACCCACACCCACACCCTCTCTCACTCTCTCTCTCTCACTTTTGCAGCATGCCAATTAAGGTCACTAAATTCAGGCTATTTCAGACAAAGAGAGCAAGTTCCACAGCCCTGACAGAGAACCTCTTTTATAATGAGCGGGATCCAGCTCAGGTGCTCTGGCTGGCTATAGTTGTGGTAATATAGCACAGGGAAGGAGGCGATCCTTCAGGTAGAACGTAAAGCTAGGACTACAATGGATGAGTTCATAGTACTGAATTGGTTCTCTAATTGCACTACCAGAGGCAGAACGTCTGGCCGAAAGTGACTTGACCCAAGCCCCAGAGGTTTCATGGAAGCGTTTGACCTACCTCCAGTATTTGCAGGAACAAAAACAAAGCCCAGATTTCTAAGATTAGAGGCAGGTCCCCCGGAACCTAAGCTCATTGTGGTGGAATGAGCATATCTAAACCACAAATAAGGTCTAAAACAGTGAATGTATCTGTATGAAAACTATTATTAATAGGACAGCTGGGTTACTAGGTGATGGGAGAAAGGAGAAGAGAGGGAAGGTTCTCTCATGGATTGGTAACTGGTTAAAAGATAGGAAACAAAGAGCAGGAATAAATGGTCAGTTTTCAGAATGGAGAGAGGTAAATAGTGGTGTCCCCCAGGGATCTGTACTGGGCCCAGTCCTATTTAACATATTCATAAACGATCTGGAAAAAGGGGTAAACAGTGAGGTGGCAAAATTTGCAGATGGTACAAAACTACTCAAGATAGTTAAGTTCCAGGCAGACTGCGAAGAGCTAAAAAAGGATCTCACAAAACTGGGTGACTGGGCAACAAAATGGCAGATGAAATTTAATGTTGATAAATGCAAAGTAATTCACATTGCAAAACATAATCCTAACTATACATATGCAATGATGGGGTCTAAATTGGCTGTTACCACTCAAGAAAGATCTTGGAGTCATTGTGGATAGTTCTCTGAAATCATCCACTCAATGTGCAGAGGCAGTCAAAAAAGCGAACAGAATGTTGGGAATCATCTAGAAAGGGATAGATAATAAGACAGAAAATATCATATTACCTCTATATAAATCCATGGTACACCCACATCTTGAATACTGCGTGCACATGTGGTCGCCCCATCTCAAAAAAGATATACTGGAATTGGAAAAGGTTCAGAAAAGGGCAACAAAAATGATGAGGGGTATAGAACGGCTTCCGTATGAGGAGAGATTAATGAGACTGGGAC